TCAGTTACAGGAAAAAAAGAGTTGAAGCCCCAAGGGTCAGTTTGTTACCATCCGTTTGAAGATGACAATAAAACGTGTCTGGAGGTCAGGCACAAATCCAAGTTTACAAAACAATTCAGCCTGAGAGCAGAGATGAGCAGGGAAGAAAATATCAGCTGTTCTTGGCTACACGAGAGTAAAGATTCAGGCTGGGAGGCACTTAAAGAGGTAAAACGTTCAAGTCAAACACCAGATATGATGCTATACTATGCTTTATAATAATGGTTACTATGTTCTGGTTATTCTTGTATCTTCTTCGAATTAACAACCATTATAGTTTACAGGCTTGTATCCAATCCAGTCAAATCCAACTTTATTTTTTAAACTGCTGTACATTGACATGAAACAATACATAGACTAATACAACACCAACAAAACAGCAACATACAGCTGTCATCCAGGATTAAAAGCCAAGGAGTGAAAATGAGGTTAAAGTTGCGATTTAAAAACTGCAAGGCCGGGGGCCAGTCTGACATGAAGAGGCAATTCATTCCACAGTCTCGGTGCTGTGACTGAGAAAGCTCGACGCCCTCTGTTCTTGAGCCGTGTTTTAGGGACAACAAGAAGTGACTGGTTTGCTGACCTTAATGACCTTGAAGGAGCAAGCGGCTTCAATAGATCAGGCGTGTACAATACAATAATTACAATAATCAAGGTGTGTTGTGATAAATGTAAACCCTCTCAAAGCTACAACAAACTTAACATGAGGTTGCAAAGTGCCCAGGTCTATTTGAGAGACATCAGAGGCACCACTGGGTCTAAATATCATGACCTAATGTTTACTCTTGTTGAAGTTTAAAAAATGTAAGGCCATCCAGGCTTTAATATCATTAAAACAGTCAACCAATCTTTTTAAAGAGCTACCCTCATTTCTTTTAATGGGCAGGTAGATTTGTGAATCATCTGCGTAAAAATGGAAGCCCAAGTTATGTTGTTTTAAGATTGATCTAAGGGGAAGCAAATAGAGTGAGAAAAGAATTGGCCTGAGAATTGAACCCTGGGGAACTCTACATGTGAGGGACATAGAAGTTGAAATAGAGCCACCAAATCTGACAAGTATGACCTAAACCATTTTAAGGCAGTGCCCATAATCCCCACGTTATGCTCGAGGTGAGAAATAAGGACGCTGTGGTCAACTGTGTCAAATGCTGCTGTAAGATCTAAAGATGGTACGTACATCAGAGCAAGTGTGAGATTTGTTTCAACCAAAGTTGGTCAAAATATTCCCTACAGCACTGGCAAGAATATGTTACCAAAGTATTCTGTTGAGCAAAGTGAGACAGAAAAAATTTTGAAGTAGTAATGCAAAGACATGACCAAGTTATTCTGGTAATCTGATATCAAATTATCATTTTGTACATTTTGTTGTCTTCTAGTTAGTTTTTGTTTTTAAGTTTGGTAAAATGATGGTTGCATCAGGAAGTCCAGGAGTGCTGCACTTGTTGTGTTAAAAATAATACTTTATAAACGTTTGTGCTTGGTGAGGTTACTGTCAGCTCTGTGTTCAGTGATCTGTGTCATAGTCACTTCCTTTTCAGCAGCTGCAGTCGGTTCCTGCTGTAACAGCTCAGTGCAGTCTGACTGAGGGAGGTTTTTGTACGACTATAAATCACTGTGTGAACACTGGGCCACTGTGTAGACTCTTACAGTAATAAACTGCTGCATCTTCAGCCTGAACTCCACTGATGGTCAAAGTGAAGTCAGAGCTGCTTCCACTGCCACTAAACCGAGCTGGTGTTCCTGAGTGCCTTATGCTGACATGTCTTATCAAGAGCTTTGGAGGCTGTCCAGATTTCTGTTGATACCAGAACATACATTCACCATCACTACAGGTTCCAACAGCTTGACTAGTTTTACAGGTGAGAGTGACAGTGGATCCTGGAGTAGATGTCACTACTGGAGGCTGAGTCACAGTCACCAGACCGCTGCATCCTGCACACAAAAACAAATCATTCATTTATCAGCAGAAAGAAATGAGAGAAAAGGCAACACATCATGTCTGAAATGTTGCTGAGTGAATGAACCTGTAAAACAGCAGCAGGCCAGCGTCCACATGAGGAGGGCGATGAGAGTCATGGTGGTTGTGGTTTCTGCTGTGTTGACTGACAGATCTGAGTCCTGCAGTGTTGAACTCACAGCAATATAAACCTTCTCAGTTCACTGGAGAATCAGCTGATGATGCAAAGCCTCCTCTCTATGGAAATGATTTCTCTGCTCTCAACAGACTGAAGCCAACGTGGGACACAAAATCAGGAGCAAAACAGCCTGGATTTAAACCATCTATGATCTTAATGGAAAAGAAGAAAATATTTATATTAGAAATGCAGTTGATGATTTAAGGATGAGTTTGTGTCCACTGTAGTTGGTATGATGTCTGTTTGTCTGCTTGTGATTATGTTTAGGTTTTACTGTAAATAAATAACATATTTCAGTTCAGCTTAATATAAGTTTGGAAATATTATTATGTAAAAGTATCATGTTCATTTAATTGTGTATCAACTAATATAAATATGTGAAACAAATGACTTTGTTTCAAGGAGACTGTAATGGTTTCTCTGCCAGGTGTTGAAAAGTAATGCAAACTAAATTTAATTATACCACAGATTGAATCCATATCAGTAAAAAAACTTATGTTTTTCTGTGTTATTAGAAAAAGCAGAGAGTTTGTTCAGTCTATAGATGCTTGTTCACAGTGCAGGAGGTTTTTGTACGGCCACTTAATGAGTTTGTATCACTGTGGTGGACTTTTGGTGGAGGAACCAAACTCATCGTTGACTGTAAGTATCAGAGATTTTTATTTTATAGAAGCAAATACTTTTATCAAATGTTGAATTAGACACTAAACAAGTTCATTGTTTGTGTTTTGATTATTATTTTGATTGATTTTATCAAACAAGGCTGATCTCACAAACTGAGAAGACGTGTTGCTAAGATTAATATTTATTCAATATTCATAAGGTTGAAAACAACTGTTTTCTAATCGTTCAATTTCATGATAAAGTTGAGTTATTGTTTGCTTAGAGATGCTTGAATGTAAAATTTGGTCAATTTTTTTTTTATATTTAGGAAATAACATCAGTAGTTCAATTTCAATATATTCAATTATTTTGAACATTCAAACTGTTTTTAGATTTGATTATAGATTTGTGGTGAGACACAGAGGAGCTGCAGCAGGGCAGTGCCACGCTGGTGTGTCTGGCCAGCGGGGGCTTCCCCTCAGCCTGGAGGCTGGGCTAAAACTCCTCAGGGGTGTCACACAGCCTGGAGGTCCTGGGGAGGGACGGCCGCTACAGCTGGAGCAGCACCCTGAGCCTCCCTGCAGACCAGTGGAGGAAGGCAGCCTCAGTGAGCTGTGAGGCCAGTCTGAATGACCAGAGACCTGTCGCTCAAACCCTGGACCATGACCGCTGCTCAGTGTAGAGCTTCAGCAACACTTCCTGTCTGGAAATGATACTGCTTCTTTGATACAGATCTTGATGAAGCTACAGATCTCCTCTGTTCACATGTATGTTCACATCTATATATCTCCGTTTCCAGAGTCAGAAAACGGGCAGGAAACATCACTGCAGATCCATCTCACCCCGGGCACAACCTGTTCCAGCTCCTCCTCTCTGGTAGGTGCTACAGAGCACTGTACACTAAAACCAACAGACACAGAAGCAGTTTCTTCCCACCAGCCATCACTCTGATGAACAGCTGATTTCTGACTCACAGTGTCAGGAACAATTCCTGTGCAAAAACCCAGTAACTCTGTCTCTAATCAGCACCTGTTTACTGGTTACCACTTATTATTTATTTATTCACCATTCTCTATTTCAGTGCTGTTCATACTATGTCATATTGTATATACTGTATACCAATACACCTACCTCAGGTCATAAGGTCATAGGTCTTGTTTATTTTTTCCAGCATCCTTTGCACTATTCTCCATCACACTGTGTACATGTGTACATGTAGGCATGTATGTGTACCTGTATATCATCCACCTTCAACATGTACATAATGAGAATAATAGTTTACTCTTGCATCCTTTGCACTCTGATCACTGAACTATTTGTCAATATGTCTATATTGTTTTGTTCATAGTGTGTATTTTAGTGTTTATACTGTAGTTTGTGTCTGATTTTATTTTATTATTATATTATTGTGTCATGTTATTTTTGTATGAGTAAGCACATCATGAGCAATGTATAATCCTGAGTCAAATTCCTCGTATGTGTACACATACCTGGCAATAAAGCTGATTCTGATTCTGATATTTCTGCAAGTTTCACAGCTTCTACTCAGTGTTTTAGTGTGCATGTTGCTTATATATTATATATTATTATATATATATTATATGCTATATAATACTGCTCATCTGCATATTCTTCTTTACATTCATTACTTTTCAAATTGAACTGAATTGTATTAGTTTTACTTAAACTATTCATTCATCAAAAATGTGGCACGAACATTAAACCATCATTCAATAAAACTATGGATTATAATTAGTCAATGTCTTTGTTTCTTTTCTGATAGTACAGGATATCTGGATTATATTACTTTGTGACAATCTTTCTTTGGAAACAAAGAATAAATGTTTAAGACTGCACATGGAAGTGATATTTAACAATGTTAGATAGTGTTAAGTTGTTGGTTAGTTGTTATAAATCTCTCACCCTGACTCAGGAAACCCAAGAACACAAGCAGAGTTATTAGCAACATCATCCTGATGCAGTTTTCAGAGTGCATGAAAACATTTCAGACTCTCTGTGACATGAGAGCTTAAATTCTGAGGAGCAGTGATGCATAGAAGTCATGCAAAATATATTTACAGGGCACAACTGTCCTTGTGAAACTGAAAATGAGAGGAGGTGAAGTAATTATAGGCTACATCTCCCTGTGGACTGATTAAGCATGTATGGATACTTCTTGTCATAGTGCAAAAACTTGAGGACTCAAAGGCAGACTCGGAACAGTTCGAAGGGGTAACAAAGGGGTTTTATTGAAAGGTGCAACGGAGGACTGGGTGGTTGGCTCCAACAGGGCAGAATGGAGAACACAGAGGAGGGGAGTTAGCCCAGGCAAGATAGGAGCAGAGCGGGGTGTGGCGTTCAGCAGGTTTCCCGGAGGTAGTGTGATCCTGGGCACAGGGAAAAACGGGTTAATCCAGGGAGACAGAAATTACAGGGAATCTTACAGGAGAAGATAGTTGGCCTTGACGCATATACCACATGTGGTTAACTGACAATCTGGCAAAGAATGTGAGGAGGACTGGGGTTGAAATACTGCAGGAGCTTGATTAGTGGAATGAGAACCAGGTGCGCTGCTGAAGCCAGAGAGTGTAGCCACGCCCAGACAGACACAGACAGGGAGGACAGACAGAAAACACAGGGAAGGGGGGAACAAAAGAACACAAGGTAGTGGGGAGATTCTGTAGTACCACAACACTTCTGGCTTTCTGTTCCTCTCTGCTGTAAGGCCTTTGTGTTCATAAATAGGCACCGGCTGCCCTCTGCTGGCACTCCAGCTTCACAACAACTTTATATTGACATTGGATTTGTATTTTAGTTCAATGATCATGTAGATCAATATCTTAACCCAGATGCTTCAGCTGGGATATAAAGAAAAAAATTCTAACAGAGGCCATGAATGAAACTTAACCTCAGTGTTAGCAGGCTTTTATTTTCAGAAATTAAGACTTCTATAGGTTCCTGTTAGCATTCATAGGCCTTTGTGTGTCATTTGCAGCAGAGTAGGCCTACATTACATTTTTAAGCCTTTATCAAACGGACGATTCCTACCATCAATCTATTGGTACACACATATATATATATATATATATATATATCTCTCTATCTATCTACAGTTGAAGATCTTGTGATGTGATCAAAATGTCCAGAACAGCTTCTAAATGGACCATGAGGATATGTAATTTGATTAACTACAGGTATACTAGCATATTAGATATTTTTGTAAACTAGTGATCTAATTTTAAAGATTATATACTGTTATGACCTGGCTCAGAAGGCCACAACAAAAGGGAGACACACCATGGTAAACGGTTAACAACACATGTTTATTTAACAAAAAATAAGCCAAATTTAGAGGTATTTCGAACTCATGGTGATGCAGTGGTTAGCACTGTCGCCTCACAGCAAGAAGGTCATGGGTTCAAACCCAAAACATCCAAAAAATTGTCCTTAGGTGCGGTTGTTTGTCCATGTGTCGCTCGATGTCAGCTGGGATTGGCTCCAGCCCCCTTCAACCCTGTACGCAGGATAAGCTGTTGACAATGGATAATTAATGTATGAGGTATGTAGTGTGTGGTTTCTATAGTGTCTATGCAAGATAATGGTTGTGTGAAGGTGTTGTAGTATGCAGTAAGCAACAGTCCTCCTGCAGAATATACGAAAATCTTCAGCCAAAACAAACTATCCTACATTAACCAACAGAATAATAGAACATTGACACAGGGGGATTAGGCTACATAACAAGCAACAAAGGCATTAAAGAAAAATAGTTACATATTTAATTCTCCAGACTATAGCCTATAATGCTTCAATATAATGTGTGATTTATATTGAAATGTTGTATTTGTGAATGTAAAATTTTTCATATAGGCTAGGCTAAGATAAAGAGACATACATACATACACTTTTCTTTGCACTATCCTCAACCATAAGATGAAGCTAGTAATTATAACATCAACAACTTTGTGCATTAACCACTTAATTTCCTGCATTCTGAACACATTTTCTGCACCAAATTATGGAGGAAGTGTCTTTATTTATATGAAGGGAAACTAAATTAAGGTGACAATTCAAAATATAAAGGAATATAATGTAGTACCAGTGCCTGCTGAATAGAAAAAAGCTAAGGTGTGCCGGCATGCTTGTATATGCATGCTTGTATACGCCTCCAGTTACGTCATCACACGCTACCGTTCTAGCAACACCAATAGGATTGGAGTAGTTTCATTCACGATTTCAGCCCTGCCACGCCCAGAGGCGTTCCCATAGTGTCGTCACCGACGCAGCGTCTCATTCCCCTTCTCGGGGAACAAGGGTTACATACATAACCCGAGACGTACTGTGGCCTGTACTACGAATCGGGGTAACTGGCTTATCCAGGTAACTTCAGGAGTAACTTGGTGACGTCGGGTGTAACTTCCCCGTTAACCCGTACTACGAAAGGTGGATAGGTGTTACTTGAGGTCTGTTGCCATGGCAATTTACGCTGCATCTCTAAACTTCTCCGAGCAGGTTTCGAGGTTACCCTGCACATGGACTACACACCACATCTGTACTCGGTGTTAATGATGAGAAGTAGGATATATAGGCTACACACCACTTCATAAAATGTTTAGATTTCATCCTGATTTATTCCACTGCAGTTGCAATGAAGTTCTGAACACAACAGCATTAGGCTATGTTCAGACAGCGAGCCCTGCATCCTCGGTGATTTCAGAGCGGAGTCTTAATTAATTAACGGGATAGTTCCTTAGATGTAAACCATCTGTAGTCTAGAATTGAATTCACCTAAGTGTTTTCACATAGGTTTATTTAGATTGACTATTTTACGTGTCCAAAAAATATGGAGCCAGGGTGAGGGTTAATAACCTAGAAACAAATCCTAGATTAAAGTGTGAAATTTTCAAGAAGAAAAATGGGAAATTCCCTGAGGTTAATGTCACAAATCTAAAATCTGTTTTCTTCTGAATAACCCAATCCAAGGCAAACTCTCTAAGGTGCATGATAGTGATTGTGGGCTAAACTCACGAGTATTTCCTCACTGCTAAATCCGATTGCAAAGTTTAATATAACTTTCCAATGCATGCATACTACACGGCAGACGTGTGTGTGTGTGTGTGTGTGTGTGTGTGTGTGATGTTGCAGCCTTGCAAAGTGAAGTTTCTCTCATAAATGTGTGATTTTAATGTCAGAGAATATTCAAGTTTTTTACTTGTAGATTAATCTTGGAAATTAAATTGTGTCTCGGGTTATTAGCCTATCCCTCTCCGCTGGCTCCTTTTCTTCTATTACAATTGACCTTATGTGCAGTTGTACCTTTACATCTTAATCATATTACACATAAAAGAAGAGCCCATAAAATACATAAGAGATTTGAACTACAATAAGAACACTGGGAAGATAGTTAGGCTACAAATTTACTCTATGCGATGCCAACAAGCCGCCCTGCCTTTGTCGTCCGCCACGATATTAGATTTAGCCGTTAACTTGTCTTTACATTCATAATTTCCTGACACAACCAACGTGCATTCCTCTGGAGAAATACGGAGCATGCACCGTTGAGAAAAAACTCTGCCTGCACGGCCGAACACACCCCTTTTATGCAAACGCGCACCAACTCCAATTAAATTAACCCGGGGTTAACACTGACTCAACTAACCAACATCTTATCCACCGTTGTAGTACCGATTAACTGCAGTGTAGGCAGTCAGAGTTTGTCAACCCTGAGTTTGCCTGATAACCCCGAGTTAACTCTGAATAGGTTGAACTCCCTTCATAGTACAGGCCACAGGTCACAGTGCTGACAAATTAATGCTGGTAACCCTGGAGTGCGGGTTTGGTGGGCCCAGACTGCATAGGGCACTCTGTAAAATATTAAAATCAAAGAAAGTCCCTAGTTTTATGTATAGAGGATGGTTGTAACACTTTTTAAAGAAGTGTTACAACCCACCCCACCCCTGTCAGCCAATGTTGAGCTAGTGGTATTACCATAGTGGCTTGAAATTAGAAAGGAAAAAAAAAAATCACAAGTTGCCTGAGAAACTATATTTCAATCTAATATAAGTCAAACAATTCTATCTGCAATAGTATAGACACTAAACAAAAAATAGTCTTGGTCAAAAAATGTACTTTCTTACCTCAAAATCAGTTTTTTCCTTATATATTCTGAATACACCTCTTTCCAGACTTGATAACCACCATGCTTGATCTGGGAGGAAGTAGGTAAATACTGAAATGATCACCTAACTCCTATCTTATCTCTATTTGGTGGAATTGGTGTTGTTGCAACTCTCCCCATGTTACAACCATAACCGGTCTCCCCTACACGTATTATAGCAGTGAGTGCAGCAGTAACGTTGGATCCTATTTACGCTGTGGGGAGAGGGTAATTCGTCCAAAAGTTGTCGCTGTAGGCCTGTTTAAACCCTACGCGGGTTAGGGAGCTCGATTTGGGCTGTGAGGGTGACTCCGACCAGAGTTCACTCTATGCTGCAGTGGCAAGGGTCTAGTTTCGGAAAGGCCCAGAGTTACAAATACTCTACAGGACAATTAGACCAGGTGCCCAGAGTTACTGCAATCAGTCTCAGCTCTTCACCTGCAAGGGATAGAAATTGGTCACACGCACGTGACCCCACAGGGCGTCACAATAACAACTGTTATCATTTAAAAGATATTCATGAGGTGCATGTTTTACAACCAACATTTCTCATAAATCCTAGAATTTGTTTAACATTGTCCTATGCCAACATATTTAAACAATACTAACTAAATGTAAAATGTTCTAGATATTTTTTTATTTGTATAAATCTATATACTATAGGCTACTATATAATATACTGTGACTAATTTCAACTGAGCAATCTCCATCCACAGAGTAAGACCATGAAATACAGTTGAAAGCTTTTGTCAAACTACAACATTATAGCTATACAATATGTCTCTCCTTAAACACAATAAGCATTGATCAGTTATCAGGCGAGTGCGACATTTTAAACATTTTTTACTAAGTTTGGCTTTGTGAATATGGTACTTCCCTAGAAAGATCAAAAGATTGATTAGAAACAATGTTTTCTGTTTTGTGGACAGTAGGCCTACATTTTTCCAACAAAGGGAAAATTCAGAGTCAGTGTTACCAATAGCCTAATATTTTGAGACAAATCTTTCCAGAATTTGCTAGAGTGGGGACATTGAAAGAACAGGTGTATTATGTCTCTGGATAGCTTACGTTTCATAGAATGAGAGAATATGTCTCCCTTAAGTTTGAGAAGAAAGTGGCTGGCAGGATGCAATGTATAACTTTAAAAGAAACTTCCCTTTATTAGTAAGGAGGTACTTGTATGAAGGAGATATATTTTCCCAGTTCACCTCTAGCACAAACCTTTGTTTCATCACCTGCTGCCGTACACGTTACTCACCGGAGCTCTGTGATTGGTCAGCGCCAGCGGGGCGACGTTCAAACTCCTCCCCCTCACCACCACCGCATCTCGGCGGAGTCAGCGGCTATCCACCCAACGGAAAGTTTTTGGGGCGAGCTATCAAGCCAAAGTTAGTAAAATAACGCATTGTTTTATCACCAATACTTTAAACATCGGCACGTTTAACATTGTTTCTGTTTTTCTGTGCGGTTTGTGTTGGACACAGGCTCTGGAAAGCCCGAAAATGAGTCAGTTTAAGGAGCGCTTCGTGACTCTGCTCCGTGAGAAGAACTTTGTGACAGATCAGTTGGCGACGTTGGAGCAAAAAACGGGAGTGAAGAGAGAGTACATCGTTTTGGGTATGTTAACGGCTCGGTGAAAAGAAATAAAGAACTCGTCAAACATCCTTTAATGCTTCAATGTAGGCCTACTTTAAAATACTGAAGGCAGTAATGAACTTGCTTAGGAGCTTATAACGTCTTTGCTAAGAACTAGCTACATTCTAGCAAACAAACCAACATTTGCCACTCAAACTGGAACTGGCAGCAAGTTGTGGTCACACTGTTGCACACAGAGTAGCCTACTTGGTGTAGGCTAGTTTCATATCCTGTGGCACGGTGAGCTGGCTCATTTTATTACCCTTCTCATGCTGGAATACAAAGTTCACCCAGCCCAGACCTTTATGCTACATTATAAGATTAGACTTGGTATATAATCCTTCCTTGCACACACCTATTTCAAAATATTGCTGTTGAAATGATCAGCTTCTAATAACCCAGGGCCAGAACCAGCTGGTCCCCGGGAGTATTTTTATCACATCCTGAAATACCCAGTGCAGAGCAGATATGGAAGGAGATTCTCAGATGACGGGTTATTAAGCTGCAGGCTGCCCTATGTTTAGGCTACATTTAGGAGTTGTGTTTTTGATTCTTCTCTGTTGTCACAGCATAGTAGATGCCACTCAGCTACAGGAAACAGGTTAGCCAGTGTGACCTACATTCAACCCACTATCTTTACTCAAAATTGATCTACACAGATGTGTGTTCACAACATTAGCATGGGTATGCATTTAACAGCCAATTTCAAGGTTACAGAGGAGAAATATCGGTGGATTTGAATGGTGTGTGGGAAACGTGTTGTCTGTGTTTATCCACGTGATATCAGATTGGGATCACAAACATGTTTGGATTTGTGTGATTGATATTCATATTTTAAAGTTCAACAATAGAACATCAGCAGATTTACTTTATTTTTTAACATAATAAACACATTTTAGGTAAGGATCCTTTATAGTTGGTTATTATAGAACTGTGACCAAGGTACATTATGTACTATGACTATGTATGCTACTACGAAAAGTAAGCATATTAGTGGTCTCAGGTGGGCTAACTATGTAATGGAAACACTTTCTAAACTAGAGCTGAAATGTTTGGTGATTAATCGATTAGTCAATTTACAGAAAATTATGTGGCATGAATTTTGATAATGGATTAATGGTTTGAGTCATTTTTTTAAAATAAAACGGCAACCATTCATTCAGGATTTGCTTCGTACTCTGTTCTTTATGATTGTAAATTGAATATCTCTTGGTTGGATAAATTAAGAAATTCAAGGTTATCAACTTGGACTCTGGCAAAGCATGATTGACATTTTTCACTGTTTTCTGACATTTAATAGAACAAACATTTGTTGCAGCCCTGTTCTAAACTTCCCCATTGCATTTCTGTTCCACATATTGCTGCTTATCGGCTGACAGATCTTTGATGCTGATGTATCTGGGATAAGCTAATATGGGTCCATACAAGTCAGGCGATTTATCTGTCTGGCTCTACCTCTACCACATCAACCACTCTGAAGAGTGTCATTGAGTAAAAAAATGCCACATGTGTCATTTATAATTTAAAAAATGATCAAATTCTAAGAAAATGTCAGTTTGCCAGATACAGTGGGTGTCTGGTAAAGTCAGATCTTTATTTAAATACTTGCATGTTTTTGTCCCAACACACGCCACCAAACTAGCAAAACAAATACAGAGGACTGTATGCAGATCACCCCTTGACACGCCTGTAGCCTGTATTTAGTAGAAGGTACAACCAGCCAAATTACACCATGACCTGTCATGTCTTTGCCCAACTGTCTTCTTAAGTGTCTTGTTGGCTTGTTAGTGAGGCAACAACCCTTCATTAGACAATTTGGCCACATTGCAGGTTTGTTACAAACGTGTGCAATGATAATGGTTTACGTTCCCTGTTGGCTCACCAGAATGCTATGTTGTACTTTGCCTTGACCTGGGGCTGGTCAGTCAAACAGAGTTACAAAGTTGTGTCTTGTGTTTAGCGGAGAAACGTCTCAAGTTCATGCTGACTCTTCTGACACTCTGAAGTGTGAAGACTGATTTGCTGACTGGAGTAGGGAGGTCTCATTTCCACTGTGTGTGCAGCCAAACTTACTGAGTGAGTGGCCGTTGTTTGTTTTTTAAAGCCAACACTCACTCACTGCACTTGTAACAACAGGCTTTGTGATGATTTCATGATAAGAGGAAGTGGATTTTCAGCTAACAACTCCTCCAACTCTAATGAATAGTTTGAGTCATACAATACAAGATTATGCAACTAATGTCCTAAGTGCCCTTTAGCTTTCCCACAAGAAGGGTGTGTTTTCATTTAAGGCTATAGAATCCATGCCATGTCAAATGGATGCATTGCTAATTTTCTTAGAGAAGTTCAGGAGTTGCTCACTCACAGTGTAGAGTCAGATGGCATGCCAGTTTGGATGTGTTTGTTGCTGTTAAAGTGATTCTGCAGTCAGCTTTGTATTATTAATCACTGAGTGATTAAAAGAGGCAGTTTATGATCTCCCTATGCAAAACATTTCTGTCTAGGAGTGTCTGCTTTGTCAGCAGTCTCTTTGGGGGCTTCAGTTTCAACCTGTTCTTCCAGTTCTGCCTTCATATGAGAGGTATGGGTAGACAGGGAAATGCATGGTTATTTGTATATTAGCTGGGACAAACAAATGAGATGTAAAGAGCAGGCAATGGTTTTATTGGTATCAAAAGCTTGTAGTGTTTTGGATACTGTGTGACTTCATTATGTCTATGGCATTTATGATAGTTCAGTTTTATTATTAATTTAGGTTTTACATGAGTTTGAATGATTATGGCAGCTGCTGGAGGGTTAGACATCCTGACATTGCCTTAAACCTGTCTCAAGGTTACCACAGAGACAAAAGATCTGTGATTTTTATATTTTGTTATTGGCCTGGGGAGTGTTTTGAAGATAATGGAAAACTATAATTGAGCATTAAGTGAAAACATGGGTTTTGAGTGAAGAAAAACATGACTAAGCTGGAGAATTCAATCACAAATGGAAGAAATTAGTAGGCTAAACTGGCTGACCAGACCGCAGTGTATTTGCTTTGAAGTCAGCATCTTGCTGCAAGCTAACCAGTAAGCCTGTTTCAGCCTCTGAAGGAATGCATTGTTAAAAGCAAGCAGTATACAGTTCAGTTCATTATACAGAGCAGATTGTTCCCGCAGATTTTTTTTATTTTTTGTGTGTTTGTGTGCAATTCAAAACATAGCCCCGTAAAGCAAAACATCCTATAGGCTACACTCAGTGGCCACTTTATTACCTGTACAATCTATTGCAAATCAAAAAATAAATACTGGTGCTGGTCATATAATTAGAATATCATCAAAAAGTTGATTTATTTCAGTAATTCCATTCAAAAGGTGAAACTTGTATAATGTATACATTCATTCCACACAGACTGATATATTTCAAGTGTTCATTCCTTTTAATTTTGATGATTATAACTGACAACTAGCTTCTACTCCGTGCTTGAATCAAGAGGGCTGAGCAGTGACTCATGGTGTATTCATGTGGTGTCGGGGAAATAAAGTGTACATGGGACATAAAGAAGTATACAGAACTATGATTTGTGCAAAATCACATATGGCATGTACATATTTTACAAACACATATGGTTATAATGATTAATAACGATATTTGCTGTCCATGTAGAGCAAACTGCATGCGTGTTGTTTATATGCTCTGAATATTACAAACACCTCTAAATATAATGTGCTCCCCTAACCCTAACAGCACCACCAACTATGACCATACTACAAGAACATGTAATTGAAATAACATCTTTGACATTTTCAACAAAAACTAAACATCATAACATCATGAAAATGGACTTTATGGCAGTGTAGTTGTATTGAATTTCATTAGATTATGCCAATGGCCACTGTGTATATGTTGTATACAGATGAAACATAGGGCTGCAATTAAGCCAGCCAAAGTGATTCATTTATCACAATTAATCACTTTGGCTATAAAATGAGAGCCCAATGCGAAGTCTTTGTACATTTGTTTTTTATCCAACCAACATTCCAAGTCTCAAAGATATTTATTAACTATACTGTATTAACTATCATATGTGACAAAGAAAAAAATCAATTCATTTCAGGAGCTGGTTTTTATTTTATTATCTAAATAATTGCTGATGTCTTATTGTTTGCTTAATTGATTAACGGACCAGTCATTTCAGCTCTAGATGAAACTATTACCTTTAAGCTCAACAAAAGTCTGTACATTATGCGTGGAAATCCTTTTTATTTAAAATAATCTAAGGAGTCCTTCAGACATTACACATACACTGTAATGGTAATAATAATTTTTTTTAAGTCATGGAAAACCAATCACATTTGTGGAATCTCTCACATATTGTATATACTCACATGACTGTGTGAGCTTTGTGGTGTATTAAAAGTCAATTCTTCCACTGACTGGATGTGGCTATCAGTGTTTGACTTGTGTTTACTGCTCCTCCTAATCCTGGTTCTGTGCTGTCCTGACATCCTGCTATCAGACACTCTGTTGACAACAAATGAATGTGACCTGACATTAGATATGTTTGTTAAAGAGCAACTACACACCCAAATTCTATTAGCGCCCTTTTCCCAGCATATAAAAAAATAAAAAATACAGCAGAGATCCACACAGGACTGCCACTGTAGGCGTGGCTACTTAGTATGGGATGTGGGGAGGTAAGACGACACCGACCAGAGAGGCCGACAGACAGACCTCTGCTCTGTTTAGCAGAACGGCGATCCATATGGAGCTGGTAGTAAGACATGAAAGTGCTTCTAAGGAGTCAGCTGCTCATAGCTGGTTAGACACTGTGTCTGCTTGACTCCTTAGAAGCATTTTCATGATGGTCCTTTTGTTAACTACAACAACCTTTACAACTACTAAAATTGGAAAAATCTAACAACTGTCTAAAATCACGAACTAACCTATTAATGCTGTAAACACACAACTATAAAATTTATACAAATAATTAATGCTGACAGCACAATCTAACTACTCGATCACTATACACAATCTGCTTTTCACTACTGTCTGCAGTCAAGAGATGTTTTGTAGGAGGGAGAATGGGGTGGGGATATTTTAATGCAAATATATTGCATTAAAATGTCAAGATTGGGGCCTGAATCTGTCACTACTACTAAGACCCATATACAGTCCCCTCCAAAAGTATTGGAACGGTAAGGCAAATTCCTTTGTTTTTGTTGTTCACTGAAGACATCTGGGTTTAAGATCAAAAGATGAGTTCAGGATTTCAGCTTTTATTTCCTGTTGTTCACATCTAGATGTGTTAAACAACTTAGGACATATCACCGTTTGTATTAGAACCACAGCATTCTTAGCTGAGCAAAAGTAATGGAACAAATAATCTTAAAGTAAATAGCATTTAATATTTGGTGGCATAACCCTTGCTTGCAATAACTGCCTCAAGCCTGCGACCCATCAACCTCAACAAACTGTTGCATTCTTTGTTTGTGATGCTATTCCAGGCTCTGTTGGGTTAAGGTCAGGTGATTGACTTGGCCAGTGTAAACCCTTCCACTTTTTTCCCCTGATGAAGTCCTTTGTTTTGTTGGCAGTATGCTTTGGCTCATTGTCCTGCTGCATGATAAACTTCCTCCCGATTAGTTTCAATGCATTTCTCCGTAAATTGGCAGACAAAATGTTTCTGTATACTTCTGAATTCATTCTGCTGCTCCAATCATCAGTTACATCATCAATAAATATTAATGAGCCTGTTCCAGAAGCAGCCATGCGCACCCAAGCCATGATTACCTGCACCATGCTTCACAAATGAGCTTTTATGCTTCGGATCATAAGCAGTTCCTTTCTTTCTCCACACTTTGGCCTTTCCATCACTTTGGTAGAGATTAATCTTGGTCTCATCAGTCCATAAGATTGTGTTGCAGAACTTTTGTGGCTCATCTCTGTACTTCTTTGCAAATTTCACTCTGGCCTTCCTGCTGATGTGGGTTTACATCTTGTGGTGTGGCCTCTATATTTCTGCTCTCTGAGTCTTCTTCGAACAGTGGATTGTGATACCTTCACCTCTGCACTGTGGAGGTCATTGGTGATGTCACTTACTGATGTTTTGGGGGTTTTCTTCACAGCTCTCACGGTATTTCTGTCATCAACTACTGTTGTTTTCCTTGGCCGACCTGCTCGACGTCTGTTGCTCAGTACACCGTAGTTTCTTTCTTTTTCAGGACATTCCAAATTGTTGTGCTTGCTATGCCCAATGTTTGTCCAATGGCTCTGGTCGATTTTCCTTCTTTTCTCAGCTTGACAATGGCTTGCTTTTCTCCCATAGACAGCTCTCTGGTCTTCATGTTGGTTTATCCTCTTTAACAGGAAATGCAGTCTTTATAGGTATGAACCAAGGATGAAAAATTAGACTAGTCATGCAGAGCAATTTAATATTTGGACAATCAGCCTAAAAGGCAACACCTGGGCAACAAGAAACTCTGTCAGCCACATGTTCCAATAGTTTTGCTTACTTGAAAAATGGGTGGGTTCAAACAAAGGGTGGTATGTCCTGAGTTGTTTAACACATCTAGATGTGAATACCACAAAATGAGAGGTGAAATTCTGAACTCTTGTCTCATACTCATCTTTTGATCTTAAACCCAGATGTCTTCAGTGAACAACAAAAACAAAAGAATTTGGCTTACTGTTCCAATACTTTTGGAGGGGACTGAACATTGGTTTGGGGGGTTCCTCCCCTTCCTGTCTTGCCTCTGCCCTCACATCATGCTGCCTCATCTCATCTTTCTCCCTTTTCAGGTGTTCTGAGTTTTATCGGGTTGTATCTTCTGTTTGGATATGGAGCCTCACTTCTCTGCAACCTGATTGGCTTTATCTATCCATCATATTTCTCGTATGTATGAAGTTAAGCTTATTTCAATAAATGCCAAAATGACACAATTTGTGGAAAAAGTAAAGCATTTAGAAAATATAGTATTCCATAAGTATATTTCAGAGGTCATGTTATGCTTTTTCCCTTTCCTTTAATGTGTTATATCTTTTTTGTGCATGTAATAGGTTTGTGAAGTGAAAAAGCCCTGCCCAAAGGGAGTTACCATCTCCAACAGAAAACAAAACACTGCTCTCAAACTGTCAAAAAACAGTTTGATTGTAGTCCAGCCTTTACCTCTGTAACATATCAGCGTCACTATGTAACACATCATAATGCTCGCCTAGCGGCTAGTCATGCATGTCTTCAAAAACACTGGTGGAGAAACACACTGAGCAATGGACATGAAGTTGTTACTGTGATGTAGAGACAGTGTACAGTACCTTACATATGAAAGATCAGTTTGTTAGAGATTAATAACTTAGGCTACCACTCTGGAGTCGTGAAAATGAGCATAATATGACCATTTTAATACAAAGTGTCAACTAGACAGTTTCATTTGTCTTAGCAATGAACGCACATGTTTCTTTAATTATGGCTCTGTGATAAGTCAGTAGTATGTGCAATACCCGAGCTATGGATGTGACATCTAAATGAAATGCAGCCATTGTTCAACGCCATTGATTACACTTGTGCTTTTCCTTCTACAGTATGTCAAAATGTGCTGTGAAAAACACAGTTTTTGCTTTTAGTATTACAGCTCAGAATGGATCTTACTTTTAATTTTGTTACTTTATGGATGACTGACATAGACTGTTTGTTTGTTTTTTTTCTTCATATCTTCTTTCAGTAGTTATTTGTTATGTTCAAGTAAAAGTGAGAAGTAAAGAATAGATTGTTTTAAGTCTGTCTTAACACAACACTGACTTTCCCATACGTACAGTACATTGAAAGATAGTGGTCACTGTAATGATTTCTCCTGTTAGTTCTTCCACTGTGGCTCAGCAAGGAAAACACTATCAGAAAAGTTTTTATGCTAAAAGACTCACAACTTCTGAAAATACTGTATTAGGCTATGTGTGATTACTGAAGCATCGCTTTGGCTGAACTTCTGAATGCTATTTGCACAACGCAAGGACTGTGATTTTTGTCCCCCGTTACTTGGAGTTGTGATAGTAAGGGATTACGTTATGACCAATATAAGGAAGAGGAATCATTACAGCGGCCAATAAGTCTTTCTGTCGACATATGGGCAGGTGAACCTATGCTTTAAGTTCTGCTTAAAGGTACCCTGTGGATTTAATTTTTTTTTATAAACAAACATGTTTTAAACTTTTATTGTTCTTGCCCTAATCACATTGAGTGTTTGCAGGCCTAAAAAAACACATTGAGAAAATTTCCTGCTTAAATAAAACAGTCCCCAGCGTACCTTTCTTAAAAGCGCACACAGTTTAGACTTAAAATATTAATGTACTGTATAAGTCGTCACTTCATCAGTCTTCCTCTTCATTCAGTATTAAAGCCATCGAGAGCCAAATTAAAGAGGATGACACACAGTGGCTGACCTACTGGGTTGTTTATGGCCTCTTCAGCATCGTCGAGTCGTTCTCTGACATCTTCCTCTTCTGGTTCCCCTTTTACTATGCTGGCAAGGTATGCTGACCTTTTAGTTTGAAGGGTGTTTTTGTATGGGTGGTATTTGGTACTTTTTACTTTACTCTTTTCACTCTTTAGCTCCTCTGTATCAAGTCAACAACTGACCAAAGTCAGCTTACACTGAAACCACAGTCATGTGGCATTGAATCACATGAGGATTGATGCTTTTGGGCCTCTTGACATTGTAGCTTTCCAGCAGCGCACCCTTGTGGACACATCCTGTAATAGCAATATAAGGAAGATGTGTGTATGCTGTGTTCTCACTCCACTGACATTATAAGCAGGTTTTTATTATGTAGTGTGTTCAGACAGGGAAAAAAATATGCAGACTAAACACTTTCAAGTTTTTTAAGATGTTCAAGTGTGCTGTTGATTGACATTTTTGTCCCACAATGCATTGTACAAAGAAATGAAGGAGCTACTCAGCTTGAAAACATAAGAACAAACGGTGGTGAGACACCTCTAGAAATATATCAGGAAAACAAATAAGTATCATAACTTTGGCAAAACATTTTGTCCTCTTGTTAAAGTGTAATTGGCTGTGGCATTCCAAAGTACAGTATAATTGGTGTCCAAGTGAGCAAGTATGTTGTAAAACCCATAAAGTATATTGTTGGTAAACATGTTGTTCCTGTATACTAACTAAAATAATATACTATAAAGATTAGTGTATATACTAGTACATAATTTACACAATTAGTATGTAGCTTGGAATTGGGACACATCAGTCCCTATTAGTTTCAGAAAACGTATTTCACACTATTTCATGTCCCTTTGACCTGAGAGAGGAGTTTGTCATAGTAATTCGAGTAAAGTTATGTTCTGAGACAAAGTGACCCCACATATCAGAAAGCCCTATGGCAAAGTCACCTCACTATCTATTGTTCTGGCCTAATTACCATGATCAACATTGCTTGCCTTCATTAAAATGGCTTGGTTTCAATGAATAAACTTAATCCTGGAAAAATAGGATTAATAAACAAGGCCTCATATTGTGGTAAATTAACTTAGGCCTGTTGTTATGTAACCTAACAACAATACAGCAGCACACATTTATTCAAGGCACAAATTTGTAAATGAATTAAGACGTAATAAGACGGCCTATAAAATGTAAAACAATAATGAAAAATGAGAATGTTTACTAACAGTCTAAAACCCAAAGTAACTCAGTTTTTTTTATCACAAGATAAAGAACCAGACAACACAGCAGCATTATGTCTAAAGATCTGCCCTCTGATCTCTCCTCAGTGTTTGTTCCTGATTTGGTGCATGGCTCCGGTGACTTGGAACGGTTCTGACATCTTGTACAAGCGCGTGATCCGGCCATTTTTCTTGAAACACGAGTCTACCATGGACAATGTGGTCAGCGATCTGAGTGCCAAGGCTAAGACCATAACTGATAACGTTGCAAAGGAGGGTGAGACAACTATAGTATACATGCAAGTACAGCCACATTTATATACTTTATGTGCTGAGAGAAAAAACTCTATTACCTCACAGAGGGCTGGGCAAAAATCTAAACCATGAACTGCCGCATTTAAACCTAGGTAACGATTAATAAACTTTATCTCAGTGAATCTCATATTAATTAGCTATTCCGAACAATAAAAAAAAACTGAAATTATGTTTCAGAGTAATATTATTTATGTAACATTTGTATTCATTTAGAATACTTTTAAAATACTTACTAAAGTGAATGCTTTATTTTACATATCTCATGACTTTCAAGTCAGAACAATAAAACATTCGATTTAAATAACACTATTAAAGCCAGCTGTTTTAGGTGACAATATATTTTGGCAAAAAGCCTGTGAAATACACTGCTGCGTCTGACATGACTTGCTTACCTCAGACTGTGGTCTAGAGACACACCTTTACTGTTCCAGGGCTAAGTTGTATTCATTTTGGTAATTCTGCTTGGTTACTGAAGAACTGTAACTTTAATTTGTATCAAACTTTAGCTCCTACTGAACGTTCACCATTACATTTGCGGTTTACAGCTAACCTGGCTTCACTTAGACAGCTAGCACTCCTGTCTCTCGCTCTTTTTTTCTTTTGCTCCATGTCTTTCAGACATGCTTAAAACAGCTAGCTGGAACAATGCCGTGACTTATGAAATTAATCCATGCAGCAGGTTTCAGGTGCATTGCAGGGTTAGGTGGCAGCCTGTATGAAGGAATGAATTTACCGAACTTACCTATGTGACTATATAAAAGTTAAAGTTAAAATATCTGTTTCAGTAAGGTTTTTAGTAACTGCCCAGCCCTAACCTCACACTTCACACCGTATAAATACATCCTCAAATACAATAATTGGTTGTATCTTTGAGCCTTTTTTTTTTTTTTTTTACCTTTCTGCAAAATATAGTGGGTTTTTTTCTCTTTGTTCCATCAGCTGTTAACCGGGCCCTTCACCATGACAAGAACCAGTGAGAGACGTGGGAAGGCGTTGTATGTGTGCGTGTGTGTTTGAGTACTTGAAAGAGTTACTGAATGAGTTTGTGTGTGTGTTGTCTCACTTTTGGTGCATCCTCCCCCCCTGCCTTCCAGTGGTGAATGATGATGATGACCAACCACTCCGTCATGTGGTGAATGGAAGCTTTACACTCCTGAAAATAAATAAAAGCCCGTGTGTGCATTCACATCACTTTACTGCCATCAGTACTGCGAAGACAATCAGTGAAACTTCTTGTCTTATTATTTTCATCATTGTACTGAGAATATGTGGAAAGAAATACGTTCATAGCAAAAAATGTTGATTGTGGGCCTGCAGGTTTCAGCAACACTGGCAGTGAAGTTATTATGTCTTATTGAGCCATTTGTGACAGAGGCTGGTAACATCTTCAAATAAGTCTGTAAACAGTATTTTCTTTTGGAACTTTTACGTGTCACTAATGTCTTCTTGCTCCTAAAAGCCTTACTCTCGCATGTGGCAAGCAGTATTTAAAGCCTGTTTGAGCTATTGGGAAGGTTCTAAATCTGTACGTTTAACTAGATGTCTTCTGTCCTTTCATCTGTCTTAATTTATCATCTCATAATAGTGAAACAATAAAACTGGAACCCTGATGAACTGAAGAACAGTGTCTACCTGGCTTTAAACTTTGAGATTTATTTCTGTCTTCTGGTGCACTCTCTCCAAGCGGTGTCATTCCTCACAAAGTGGGAAATTGGATTTTATTTGGTCCAAATTACAATGTTCATGCACCAGTGATTTCTGTAATTGTTTCTTTTTATAGCAGTGGCAAGTCCAAGGAAATTAGATTTCTGGATCCATAACCTGTGCAGATTTGGCTGTAGTTCATTTTGCAGCACCAAATGTTTCTTAGTAATGAACCTTGTCTGCACAAATATTAATGGTTCCCAAATATCTCACACTCGCTGTCTTGGGAAACATTGAAAGTTTCAGTTACCCTTTTCCAAATTGTTATATATCCACTTTAAAAAAATTATTACAAATTACAAATTATTACTTGAAATTCATTATGAAACATCTCTGAACTACAGAATGTTTAAAAAAAAAACAAAGTAGCTGTAGATAATTAAATTAAACTCTTATTTAAATTGGTTATAGAAAGAAATGTTTGTTTGATTAATTGCAGGGAAAATACAAATACCACATATTCTCTTCCATCCTACGTATCCACTTGATCTTTTGACCTGTCATCCGCAAGCACATTTGCCAGCATTCAGATAGCCTAACCACGCACGCTTTAATTTGTGTTTGGCTCTGTATTCACACTTGAGCTCCAAATGGGAGACCCTTTGTGTTCGTGCACTGGATGTAATGCATGGGAAGAGCCGGTACGATGGCCACACACCGCCACAGGGACAGAAAAGGCACCCATTTGGAAACGGCTCCTGTGAAGATACATCTGCTGGGTGTTTATGTATACCCTCCGCCACCGTGGCAGACAGGTTATTGATTAAACAGGAATTGGACACAGAAAGCGAGTATTGCATTGTGTTGCTGATCCAAGGCCTTGTTTTGAGTTACAGACAGTAGAAGGAAAGCAGAAGAGAATGGGATAAAGAAGAATAGGGGTGAATGTATGAAAGCATGGTTTATACATACACATTTTTCAGCATGCTTTTTATTATTTATTATTAAGACTGAACATCTCAATTGAAAGGATTGATACAATATTCTATACACGTTTCTGCAAAGGATGAATCCTACTGACTTTAGTGATCTTTGGACTTGTGCCACTAACTGGTTTTAGTCACATGTCTTGACAACTTCGGGATGGATTGCCATGAAATGATGCAATATTCATTATGCCCAGATGATGAATCCCAATAAGTGTGTTGTTGATTCTCTATATTTTCATGTAGCGCCATCAGCAAGTCAAAGTTTTCATTCATCCTGTGAAGTATCTCGTGATTGATTTGTACAAGATTTTGCACAGACATTACATGGTTCCCAGATGATGAATCCTGCTGATCGTGCGCCTCTTAGCAAATTTTACTTGTCCAATCTTAACAATGACCAAATACCCGCAAAGTGGATGACATTCCCGCCTCAGCTGTGTATATAGTACTAATTAGCAAATGTTAGAAATGCTAACTCGCTAATCTAAGATAGTCTCCATGGTAAACATACCTGCTAAACAACTGCATGTTATCATTTCGCTCAAATGTAGCACATCCTCAGAGACATTAGCGTGACTCTTAGTGACGTTTTCTACAAAGTTGAGATTTTAAAGTTGATTCTTACACCTGAATAATGGTATTAGGAAGCTTCAGTTTGATATGGCCTAAAACTCATGTAGGACCGCATAGAACACATTTAACCCAATTACAAATAGGCTAAGCTAATGCTAATCTTAACCTAGGAAGGTAAGAAGACTTATAAGCGCTCGGAGCACCGAGGTTGAATTTACAACTTAACAGGGCTGCTAGTAGCACTGGACTTTAAGTCCTGTTTTGATTTGAGTCTCTGAATCTGTCACTTCTCCTATCCAATCTATCTACATAGGCTAATCTTGCACAAATATTTTCCCGGCCCTCTCTAATCTTCTGCTCATTATCTCCCGCCCGAGTGAAACAATCAATGCTACATGTGATCACCCTGTCTGCACCGGCTGGTTTTTAACGGCAGCAGTTCCTTGGCTCACCAACAGAGGGGGACAAACACAATGCTGTGTGGATGGAGAGTTGGTGAGTCATACAAAGAGACCGTCACGTACAGACAAGCAGCTCAAAACAAGGCCTGGTCTAACTCGGCCATAGGCTGTTAGCACCAGGAAAAGGTCTTTTCACACTTATTTGTGACATTAAACGAAATAAAAGAAATGTTCTCATTTCTGCCGACAAGGGTTGAGAATTTATCTTGGCGTCTTTATACTTTACTTCCTGGTTTATCGATTCTGAGCTCTTACATTCTTTCCACCTATTACATGTTGTTTTGCTCTATTATGTGTGCATTGACAGTATGCAGCCTTTAGCCCACATAGCCTATATTGTACACACGATTCCTCTCCATGGTGCTAAAACACAATCTGGTCGCTGTCCGTGGTGCTGATCCTGGATAACTAGAGATGCGAATTGCTTTTTCATTAAAATCTCTCCAAGCTGACTTCACATTTGACCTTATTAATTCAATTAAATACAAAACATTCAATCATGCATAGACTACAGCTACAGAATACTTTGCTGTGGCTGAAACATCGACACATTGATTTGGAAATGAAATGGGGCTCCGGTTAGTGGATTTAATTTCATCTATCGGGCTGTTGCTCAGGGATCAATAGATTTACTTCCAGGTTTTTTTTATTTAAAAAATGTATTACCACCACATATGCATAGCATGTTAGGATTAGTTGGCACGTGCAGTGTCTATTATTAATGCCAAACATTCCCACAAGTGCGCCCATCCAGGATAAAAGACCTTTCTTTTAGAGGAAGTCTTTATTTTTTTTAATAGCTTGTTTAAATTAAATAGCTTTGCGGCCATCCAACCACTAGGAAGTGTATGAACAGAAAGAAAATCAAGTGTGGACAGAAAAGGGAGAGGGCATAGCACCTCCCACGTCCTATATGCGAGAGAGGGCGAAAGGGAGAGAGAGAGAGTCTGCTGTGGTGGTGTTGGAAATCGGACGACATGAGCTCTACGTGAAGCGTGTAAAATGCTTTAAGACGCTTTCGGCGTTTGTCTTTCATCCGTCTGAACCAAGGACGAGCCTGAAGCGGAGCTATACTTCACGACCAGGTATGGAGATGCTGCTCATCCCCACACTTACATGGAGGTTAGATGTTGCTGTTCAGTGGCGTAACGGCGGTCCTTCTGCCTGGCTGACTGTTGCGCTCACACGATTCCTGCTGTTCGCGGCCAATACGGGATAAGACATCTACACATTTTGTTTATTTATCCGGTAGCTGTAGATTTAAATTCATCCGCACCGGCTCCTATCACGACATTTGCGTTTGATAGCCTCGGTCGTGTGTATTGTAGGTAGCCTTTGCCCGCACAGCCATAGAGAGACACCCTCGGAGATATGAGGGTGTTGGGCTTACCGTTTTGCTTTGATGAGTAAGGTGCGGGGGTGGGGGGTGGGGGGTCGCTGCGACTGCGAAATTATGGCACCTCTGCGAGATGGCGATCCTCTGGTATTTATGAATGAACCAAGCAGAATGGGGTGGTCTGTAATGGCGTTGCGCACCAATCTGCGGACCGACAGCAAGCCCCACCTGCCACCCCATCCCGACTACAGCTGAGACGGAGATGCAAGTCAACATTTAGACTATACTCTAACAATGACGCCAGCGTGACGCATAAAGCCCGATTTCTGTGGCAAATGTCATGGTTAATCCTCCATCTGGATGTTTCTCCATGTCTCCTCCTCCATGCCTGATGTGCTGTTTGTGGTGGGTCTCAAGACCAGAGAGGAGAGCCACCATGACATGCAAAAGGAGTTGTGAATCACTCGGGCCTTCTCTATGTAGCCTATGTGTAAATATGTATGTGACTCAACTTCCTGTATGCATTGCACACTGACAGTCATGTGTGTGTGTGTGGCTGCAAGAGAGGAGAGGAGAGATGCATGACAGCAAATCCGGTGATTACGCTTTAAAGTAGCATAGGGATGCAGATGTTAAAGCATGCATGTGAGGATGGGGGATGAGAGGAAGTGTGGGGGAGTGTCACTGTCCTGCCTGCCTGCCTGTCTGTCCGTTTGTTAGTCTGTCTTGAATGGCCACAGTACGGTTGCATAAGAACACTTTTCTCTGCTAAGGCAGGACAAGGACATGACTCAATACATGGTAACAAGGAGAAACACAGAAAGAGGAGATGGTGCTGACGATTCTGATGTTGATAATTGATGATGATGATTGAGATTTTTTGTTTGTTTATTTTTTAGCTAAGGCCTAATGAATTGCACTAGACAAAGCTGTGTGAGATCACCAAGATCCAGATAAAAAAATGTGATTTTTGCTGCAGGTAAAAATTTTGTGGCCTCAGAGAATGAGCAAAAAATGATTAATGGGATCGTTTGGGTGCAGTTTGTAAACATAATTATATAACATCTAAGAGGCTATAATTGCAGTGATACCCAGGGTTACCAAGGTCTGACAGCAATAATTTTCCCATCCAACGATGTTCCTTTTCACCATTTCCTTTCTGCAACTTTAATGCCACTGTCATTCTTTTCTAATTTAAATAACAATAATAAAGTTAATTATATAGTACGTGTAAAAATCAGTAAATACAACTTGCTATACAAAAAGTAAACAGAGTGAAAATAGAACATTATAAGTCAAATAGCAATAACAAAATGAGAAAATTAAAGCGCAAATATACACGTGTAAATATACACAAATATACATTATGGCTTACAGTGAGGCATCAGCAGGCCAGAAAATGCAGAAACATGCCCATGACTGAGAGGTTTCTGGCTGATAAAATGTCACAGGGAAAGGCATTTCTCCCCCTTTCTTAACGAAACAAATGCAGAGCAACTTTCATTTAGTGTTTGATGCCTGTGAGAAGTAGTTAGTTTGTTGGACGGCTGCCATTTGTAATGAGCGAAAATGTGTGAATTTGACACAGGTTGTTGGTCAGGAGGAAGATGCATGCTCACTGAACTATAAAAGTTGAATAAAAGTTTTAAAGAATATACATATCAATTTTCATTTATGCATGTATTAGTGTTTAATGATATTTATGGATCTTTATTTTTAAGTAATTGGTAAAGAGAAATACTCAAGTCAGGTTCAGGTGTGTTGCTGCTTCACGTGAGAGAAGCATACAGTTTGTTACCATTTTCCACAAATGGATTCTCTTTTGAAACTGAACTTTCCACTATAAGGCTTTTTCAGCCTTTTATTCATTCGGTTATTGTTATTGAGGGAAACAACAGTTAACAGTGCTGTCTCCTCATGATGTTTAAGTCTGTCTGTTGCTTTGACAGAACAAGTCTAGTCAGGTTCACCTTGACTGTTGTGCACTTCTGAGCTATATATAACTATATACTGCATAATGTCTGCTTTAATACTGGAACAGATCAATGCTAAAGTGTTTTAGTTGTTCTGACGGCATCAGCTCATTTGAAAGGTCCATATAGTATTCATTATAAATGGCAGGCAGAATTTTCTTGGTCTTGTGTGGAACTAATTGAAGACCAGGATGGCTGTTCTCATCAGTTATGTACACTGTGAACTCTGAGTTACTGTTTTATTTGACATGTTGTTCAAATATCAGCATCATCATCATTTAAAGTAAAACACTATTACCAACATCCATTTTTTTTAAATTTAAGGAATTATGAGAACTGGGAGAAAAGTACGTTGTGGTTTGACATAAAGAAAAGTTAAAGGCTAGTTTCATATAATCCCTGTTGCATCATGAGAGTGTCACAAGCAGTCTGGAGCGGGATTCCCATGTTGTCTCCACTTTTAACCATCTGCGTTGTTATCCGATGTGAATCAACTGGTATTATAAAAAAGCTGTGCCTGGTTGATCTCGCCTGTAGAAACCAGTGGAGTCAATCCAAAAGTACCAACCCTGTCACCATCTGTCGCTGCAGGCAGACTTCTGTAACCACTAGTCTGTAATTAGTGCTTCAGTCAGGTTGGGGCCTTCACAGCTTCTAAGAATAGGCTTTCTTGAGAAAACTGAATACATTATACAAACATGAAAATAAATTTGATTGTTCTATCATGCTGGAAACTACATTCCTTTATTCTTTCTTGGCCATTTTTGTCACTTAAAGCCAGGTGCCTCAGTGTTTCCTGGATTGTCAGGCCAAAGTATTAGCAGGGTCTTATAGAAAGGCCAGATGGAGCAACCCAGGGTTCCCCAGATCAAGCTAATACTCAGTCCTAATACACACTCAAAGACTAATTACATGGCCATCTTGCATGCAGTCCTGTGCAAAAGCTGCAGCATAGAATCAGCTTGAATGTGGTTGCAGGGTGTGATTAAAGCTGAAGAATCAATCTGCCGGAGGGGGAAATGTTTTCCTAAATCCTTACTGAAGCGCACATTTAGTATATACTGTATTGTCATTTAGACTTATTAAGGAGTAGTTGCAGGTAGAGGGATGTTTAATAGATACAAACCTGTAACACTTAGAGCTACTGTGTACTTCTATTTAGTTTAAATAAAGTTGAAGGATGTCAACACCTTGCTTATGAAAAGCACACATCAGCGGAAATGTTTAAAGATAATTTAGAATATTTTTAGTCTGGTATAGCCAGGGGGGCCGACCAAAATGCCTCTGGATAGACCTACAACCAATCAGAGCAACAAAATGTTTGATGGAGCGTTGGTTATTAAACTTACCAAATCCTGTCGGAAGTACAGCAAACACATCTTTCTTGTCAACAAAAGCTTGTGTGGTTGTTTCTTCTTCTTTTAGAGAAAATATACTCTCCAGTTTGTTTAATACTGACGTGATAGCGGATTCAACAGAAACAGTTCCACATCTGCGGCAGCCATCTTGGTTGTTTACGAAAATTACTCAACGGCCAATAAGGTTGTGCTCCTCAGTTATCTTATCAAACATGGCCCATATTAGATAAACAATTCTGATTTGCCCGGCCAGATCCAGGACTGGTGGATATCTGTCTGAATGGGAGGGGGGGCAGACACATATGCCAGAGCAAATGAAACTTGAGCCTGCAGACTCATCTGCTCAAACAAGATGATTTTAGTGCAAAAGTTTCATTTTGTTTGTGCATAAATATTCTGCAATCACATGACAGCAGTGATCTGAGCACATTGTGGTTTGCCCACAATGCGCCTGTTTAATTTCAACTAGTAAGAAATTTAACACTATTGTTTGAAGATAGTGGGTTCAATTCGAACTTACATCTTTCTCCTGCCCCAGTGAATTGCGAGTATAGTGTAGACATACTGTAGATCTTTGCACTGTAAGACTACAGTAAGACTACAATAAATAATTGAATACTCTTAAAAACAAATGACCTAAAGTTATAACCCTTAATTTTTACATTAAATCAAACCCATTTTATACTATTGATGGTCTGCATTGTTTGTTCTGCAACAGCTATCCAATGTATTTGCATTCTATAATTATGTCTCTATAGTAGTTTTCATCATTGGTGGAAGAGTCAGCCATTCCCGTACTTGATTCAAATTGCCTACCTCTGCATACCACCAACTTTGTGTGCTTGGTTGCACTTTAAACAGATACACTACCTGGTCAGTGGAATGTAAACGCTCCGTACACGTATAGCGCCTTTCTAGTCTTTTCGACCACTCAAAGCGCTTTTACACTACATCTGCATTCACCAGTCACACACACATTCATACACTGAGCCTAAGTGCTCAAACGGAAACTAACATTCACACTCATACACTGGCGGAACAGCCGCCAGGGGCAATTCGGGGTTCAGTATCTTGCCCAAGGACACTTCGACACGCAACCAGGGGGAGCCGCCGACCTTCCGATTAACGGCCAACCTGCTCTACCTCCTGAGCCACAGCCGCCCTGTGCTTGCTGTAGTATTAAAACACACTATTAAAATTCCAATGATCCAGGCAAAACGAAGGCTGTTTTGCTTAGATGTGAGGTGTTCGCCATAAAAACGTCAACTTGCAATATTCCAGTGTTTTTCTTAGATAATCTGAAAACTGTTCAACTCCAAAATGTCAGTGTTTCAGAGACTTGTTTTTGACTGGATGATGAGACAGAATTGTCTCATTCTACTGACAGTAGTCTTACATTGACAGGCCTATCGTATGCA